TGTCAGATTATTTACCGCAGCAAGTCTGTGAAGCTAACATAGCAGTTATCTCAACTCAGCTGTAAATTTATAGTTAGCAGCAAACCCCTCCTCCAATATAATGGGGTTCATGAATTTTTCCTTTTTGAAGAGGTAACGGTTTTTTTAACGTTATGTAAACCATGATTAAGAGACCATAAGACAGTTAATGCTATGAGAGGTTTTATGATAACCACTGTTTGCTAACCCACTGAATGAATTCATTAAGAACTTAAGATAAAACAGGTGAGAAACGGAAATACTGGGAAAAGCCGATCGCGACTTCTTGTGAGAGGGAGGTCAAAAACCAAATTCCAGCATCTGTGACCAATTAGCAAGAACTTTTAATTCAAGCGCTTCCTACTTAGAGCAGCGTGCTAAACTGACCGCCAACTCCGCGCGTAGACGAAGCTACGAATCTGAAGCAAGCTACGCAAATTCTATCGACCAAAGCAAGTACATTTAAAGGTAAGCCGTTTACATGCCTCTCTTTCTTTAACTGTTTACTAATTCCATCGGCAGGCGACAAGGCGTAAGTGTTTAAAAGAAATTCTCAGGGGACAAGTCGCTTATGAAATTGCAATCCAAACTGAGTTAAGAATCAAGCTATTCAAGGCTGCGAGAACCCCCGACGTTTTGAAAATGGGTCGCCTTTTAATTACCCTAAATTGGTCGAGCGGCTACTAACTTTCCTAACACGAGCCATTACTATACACATGTATCGGCGCTTCCTCTGAGCACAGCCTATCATATAATCACCTAGAGCTTTTGGTAAGGTTTAACGTCACACCCATTTTCGTATTGGGAACGAAGCCATTAAAGAGCCACATGTGCCTGTTTTCTTCATTAGTCTCTCAATGCCAGAAAAAATATATATAGTTTTGTATCTTATCTTCGATTGTAAATTTCGACAGCAACTCGCATGCACGCTCAGGGGACATTGATGTGTTTGCGTGCATAACACGGCGCTGAACAAGCACTTTCCGCTACATTGTATTTCTTGACGTGACAGCGCTAATCGGCAAGTAAGGCGAACATTTCAGGAGGTTTATATCTGTCAACTGTTAGAAGAGGTAATGCTCATTTCTCTGAGAGAGATTTGTTACCAACCGGTTTTCCGTCTGTTGAACTTGTCCACCTCAGTCCTTGCCACAACATCAGAAAATCTTCGGTAAAAACAATTTGGTTTTACTTGCATGATGTGGACGAAGTAATTACGGCCATAATTTATCATAAGTCAGGAGGTTTGGAAATCCGGAAGAATTAAAGATCAACAAGTCGACTAAGCCATTTATCACGGTGGTAAGTCACTGTTTTCAATTTGGATAGGAAACAAATTTCGTAATCAGGCTAGCAAGTTTTATCGACCTAGATTTATCCTTAGGTGCTTTCAAAGTATTTACACCCTAAGCTGGGTAATCTGAATTTTGACAGGTTATAATTTAGAGCTGAGTAGTTACTTTGCCATTGTAAGCGACACTTTCGTGGAATTCAAACAATTAGCTTGGTTTACTTATCACAGACAAGGCGAAGATTGATAACTTATTCAGTTTATCCTCGGCGCGTGGGTCGAAGCTTCAGTGATGATTTTGTAATGTGCGGACAACATTAACATTGTTAACTGCGATCATATAGCTACTATAACATTTTTTTCTTAGACACTCGAGCTCCTAAATCAGCTTCTTCGCTCACAGGGTGTTGTTCCCCACAAGAAGTAAGATAAGACTGTACGATTAACCGTATGGAAGCCATACTGATCGAAATTATGTGTGCTGAATGATTCGTCTTAGGTAGACTTTGAACTTTTCGAATTTGTCATATGCTTCGAATGCTACTTTTAAAATAAAACGCCTTACTTTTTTTCAAAATAACCTATTTACTGACAGTTATAATCAAGTTAAGAGTTGATGTCAATGATTTTTCGTGACAACGCGTTCCACTTCAAACACCGCGCGAAAAAAATATGTTACAGTTTGTTTCAGGCGGAAAATTTACTCTGGCAATATTCCATGCATACACAGATTAGAATTGATAGTTATATACTAAAATAAACCTTTTTACTGTTAATTGATGGACACGCACTCTTTAAGTAGTTTGTTTTTGCCATGGCAAAGTGATCTCATATCAGGTGAAGAGATTAGTTAACTGCAAAATCCGGAGCCGTGATATTTTCCAAGCACGCTCATCAGCCGTGCTAGGAGAACGAGATATTTCCCTACATCAAACATGAAATGTATTCTACAAACTTCGGGAGTGATTCTGCTGCTGTTTTTATATAGTGAGAGTTAGAGAGGTTTTTGAGATCTGAAACATTTATCGTAAGTCGGGCGTGGCCTGATGCATGGTAGTGTCTGCGCTTTGAAATGCAATGTGTTGACTTGCTTCTGGATTTGTTTGCAAGTGATTCTGGCCAAAACAAAACAGCTAGCTGGCTATTATGTTTTCTTTGGTTTACAATATTCAATTGCAAAGAGGTGGTGGATAAAAGAACTATTTTATTTGCAATTCAGTCTTCGTTATCTGAAATGGAGTGCCTCTATTTGTTAAAACATGCCCAGAGTATTAATGACATGGATTCCAACGGGGATCAATTATGGCAATGCTTCTAACCATCTCACAATCGTTCATTTTTCCAGTTTAGCTCTTGTCGCCAAGGCGGCTTTGTTTAATCAAGATGAAATAATGAACTTTTGAAATTGGAACACTTTTTCGCTACCGTTGGTTCTTCATTCGGCACCAGGTTCTGCTCATGCGGGTTTCACTGCCTTGCCTGCCACTCACTCGATATCACTCAAGCTGTATCTCGTAACCTTGTTAGGTTCATTATTATTCATGCCTTCAAAACCTATTTAACACGTATCTACCAGTCATATGGCGGCAGAGGCAGCGTGGTCCAAGAAATAAGACGTTTTCAAATTCAGTTTTGAATTAGCCAGTAACGTGATCTCAACTGTCACGGTTAGTTGCTTTTTACAACGATATAATTAATGAGCTAATTTACACCTGTTTCAACTGTAATTCACTTTCAAAGAATTATCGGCCTTTCAGTTAAGCGATTTCCCTATTAATTTTCCTGACTGATCTTTGACAAAGGAGACAAAACATCGAAACAATATCCCCCATTTCCAATTCACTCAAAACTAGTATAAAATTACCTTGGGGTATAGTCGATTGCAGACTTCGCGGGCACGCATTTGCATGCAAAGAACAAGATCGAATGGATTCAATTCTTATTTTGTAGCAGAACTGATAGCGTAGACATTCCTTTTTGTACAGCAGAACAAGGTAAACTTCAAAAGACGGACTACCCGGCCTTAACCTACTTTGATTTTGTTTACCAGCCGTAGATCGGCTACGCCCCGGGTTGGTAATCACATTCTCTGCACGCGATAAACATGGATTAGTTCCGCGAAGGTAGTTTTCAAAAAAATCGATTCCATAAAGAAACCAACAGACTTTTTGATCAACAAATAACCAACCCGATAATTATTTTTTTTTAAGAAGGCAAGTGACCATCTGCAGACCTATTACTCTTCCATTAACTTCTCGGTCACAGACTTGTCAACTTGATTAATAGCCTTAATCCAACAGGACAATCGGCTCATGTCACAAACAAAACTAATCAAAATTACGTGAGTTTTCAAAGCTGCCCTACGCGCTTTACGTTTATTTCACCGACCCTGACCCTTTTTTATTTACGTTTTATTCTTGTTAGAAAAATCAATTTATCTCTACGGTATTAAACTTCAGGAACTTTGCGGTGAGTTCATACGAGTCGTACGATCGTACGTACGTGTTAGAGAGGTTAATTTTACAATTGGAAATATGCCAGCGGCGACTGAGCCGAAGCTGACAATGATAAATATAAAGTAAGTTTGAGTCCGCCACACACGCTGTAATCTGTGACAAAGATAGAAACACCATTGGTATAATATTCGATTCGGACGGCGTTTGTTTATGATTTACTCTTGTCTTCATCAGCCTAAATCTGTTCTGAAAGCGATTGACTATTTGTAATTTTTACTTATTTCGCTCCCTGCAAAATTGCACAGACTTGAGATATTAGAAACGTCATAAGCATCACATGCGCGGGAAACGGCAAGTATACGTGACTCTTACTTTCCTGCCCTATGAGACTTTTTCACCTTCAACATGAAGCGGTCCAAAACTTGAGTATGAAATGCCAACCCTTCTCTCGTCGTTCCCGTGTGCTTTAAGGTGATGCTGTTGTTTATGTTCAATTTAGAGAGTATGCAATTTGGAAGAAGAATTTCTGAGATAGCTGTGTGGCAGAATAGATATAGCGGCTTTGTTGAGTAGAAGTTCGTTTTCAGAGTATTTTATTTCAACTGAGCTCACCCGACAAAAAGTGACATCAGACAATTAACTAACGGAAATTCTTGTTTGCCGTGAACACGAAGTTTAATCTCTTTAAGAGTGGAGTAAGATGTAACATGGAGCTACAATTATGGGGCTTGGCTATACACGTGATTCATTGGTGTATAGTAAAGACTTTGGGCAACTGTGGCTTGAGTTTCTAAGCCTGGTGTTTTATTAACGAAGAAAGAATATGACGGCAGTTTTTCTTTGTTTACGAGAAGCACGAGAAATACCTTTAGGGCTGGGCCTGGTGAA